GAATTCACATGCTGCAAAGTAGTGCCTGTTTCCCTAAAGTTGGTGCTGTCACACATTGATCCATATATGCACCTTGATTTTTTAACACAGCATGGACCGTAAATAATAGCTAAAATGATCTTATATCTCTTATTGCAAACAACTTGCTTTGCTTCTAAATTCTATTATTGCAAATTCTATTGGAGTCAATATCATCTCAATCGAAAAACAAGTTTTTTTTAACCTAAATACTCAAAAATGGATGGAAAAAGGTGATCACATAAGATTTTCTAAATGGCAAAAGAGTATATGTCACATTTTCTGATCGAGTACACATAATTTCATAACTTGGATAACAAATGCAAATGTGATTATGCAATTGAGCACCCAGAGGAGGTAAGTTGCTATTTGGAATACCTGCTAAATCAGCTTGGCTGAGTAGGCAATAGCTTAGGTCCTAACACCCTGCCCCATAAATGGAGTGGTTATATGCGGTATCATGAAGGCTTAACCATTGTGATGCAATCTTATTCACTTTTATTCAACTAATCTTAACTCACCTTAATCTTCAACTCAGAATGGCGAGGTTTAATAAATCCGCCAGAAAGAAGTCTTTAGTCATTAATTTCGACACCCTAAGAAACATAAAAAAGATCAAATAAGAAACTTCGTACCTCAAAATCCGTATACTGATAGTAGCAAATTCTCGAACTGCAAATAGAATCAACAGAAATCAGAATCTCTTTTCATCCGACTCCAGATCTCATCCTTATAAATATCAATCGGTTTTACGGATAGGAGAGATTAGGGATGGCGAGAAAATCGAATTGGATTTAGGGATAAGATAGAAATCGAACTGTTGGAACCGATGAAATCGAATTGGGTTGGAATCGATTCATCAAAATCTTTGTTCATAGGTTTGAAAATCGATTTTGTTTATGGGATATGCAGATTAGGGTTGGCGATAAATATGGGATTGGGTTTAGGGATTAATAGGTTCTGTTCATGGGTTTGCTTTTGTTTATGGGATATGGATGGCGAAAAAATGGGATTGGGTTTAGGGATACGCAAATTAGGGATGGCGATAAAAATGGGATTGGGTTTAGGGATACGCAAATTAGGGATGGCGGGGGTTTAGGGATAGTATGCTTTATTAGGTTGTACTTAAAGCAATAGAGGTTGTCTTTAAGAGTTTTAGCCAAATGCTTTATAAGATAGTATAAATTATATTATTAAACTAAAAATAAGTTACCTTGTTATTAAATCTAAATTAAATTATAATAAAGAAATTGAATTAAAGAAGTTACACAAAAAAAACGAGAACTATTAAATAGTTAATTTGATACTATTATCGATTTATTTTTTAAAATTTTTATGCTATCTTCAAATTTATATTTTAATTCAAAAATAAAAACATTACCGCTTTCTCAAAACCACATAAAATCGTGTTATATCGATAGAGACAGAATAAAAACTAAACATTAAAATCGAGATTTATCTATATATATATAGGACGTTTCAAATGTAACATATCACATTTGTACAACCAATGCAACCCAATCAGTTGTGATATTTATGAAAATGATGAGAGTTCATTTATTATGATTTGAATATTTATGGAAGATGAGTATAGTTCATTAATTATTTATATTAGGAAACAATCAAAACTTTTATGAAATCACATATTAATCAAATTAAATGGACGGTTAAGATTGAATTGTATTGGTTATACAAATATAAATGATTACATAAAACTCACATCTCTCTTTGTATATATGACACATACCGAATTTCATTTACTTAATCCTTGATTTTGATTAGTGTTAATGGTTGGAGGGCATGGGCAAATGTAAGGGTGAAACAATTCTCGCGATCATTGTACATGTGCACAACTGATAAAAATCATCAATCATAAATTTCAGTGTGTTCACCCAAACCAATCAGATGGATCCACATCATATGGTATTAAGGAGGAAACTAAATAAATTTATATGTAAATAAAATATTGACGTGACTTTATATAATTAGTAAAATTTGAGACAAACATTTTTTATCCATGGAGAGCCTGTTTACGTCTACAGTATTAAAATACATGTGTCGTAATTTTGGATAGAGATGCATCAAAAAGCATTAGGCTAAGCCATGCATGAAAAAAATCAGCTTTACGGCCTGTTTACCAAACGCTTATCCAGATAAGCGGTTATCAAGTCAAATTACTTTACCGGATGAATATGACAAGAACCAAGAGTTTTACTCGGTAAGAGTGAGACAAGGACCAAAAGTCTTACCCGCTAAGTGAGAATGACGACTCTTACCACGGTAAGAGCTTATCAAGTAAATTGTTTCATAGGTGCCGTTTTGGTGGACTTAGATCTTACTCGGTAGGTAAGTAATAACGTTCAATTTTACCAGTAAGCACTTTATCGAGTAAGTTTTTGATAAACGGTTCCTTAGTCAGTGTAGCCAGGTCAATCCAAGTATTATTTTCCAAAAGCTCGACTAAAGCCCAACCAAGAAAACCCAACAACCCTTGCCTAAAAAAGCCCTAATGTTCCCTTTTCACACTTAAAGCCAAAAACTTTTGCAGACATTTTTGTTTTTTTATCGATTTCTTTTTCTTTTATTCAATCAAAATCAATTTTATGATTTTGTTCATGTGGTTTTTAATTGGATTAAAAACAAAAAATCGATAAAAAGATGAAAATGTCCATTATATAACGGATTTTTTAACGACGCTTAGAGGGAGGGACCAAAAGTGAATATTTTTACAAACCATGATGATCATTTTGTAATTTCAAAACTACGACGACAAAAAAATGTTACTTTTGACAAATCATAAGGACGACCAAATTTGTAGTTTACTCTTGATTTTATGTTAACAAGAGTAACTTGTAAAGACCATGTTTTTTTTAACATAACCAGAAGGTCGCGATGTTAACGTTAGAGTATTTCCAACACAACATCAAAATTCTTCAGCTTGTTCTGCAAAAACCTCAACAATCATAATCTTGAAACTTTTTTGCGAACATTATCGACATTTTGCATTTGGATTAGAAAACAATCAAGATGACTACATGATAATACAGATATATCTTCACCTAAAAAGTATTTACAGGAAAACAAAACATCGTTGTACATAAATACAATACTTAAACTCGTTAAAATCAAAATTGAATAAAAGAACTTGTTTAAAATGAAGCAAAATACTCTTTAAATGTTTGAACTAGTAATCTTTTCCAAACAATTGCTTCTAGTTTTTAATAAGAAGCTGGATACAGATATGTATTTCGTAAAAAGTCATTAGATAACAGGTTATGTCATTTGAACTCAATCCAACCCGATGAACCCGTTATTTTTTTATTTCTTGAATTTATTATGATTGTTATATCTCTATTAATATGTACACTAGATAATTACACCATCATTTACCCTCTTCATATATATATATATATATATATATATATATATTCTATCTCTTCTTCATCTCAATATAACTTCTTCGTACATTATGTTCAGTAAATATGAACATATATATAAAAATTGAGAAAAATAGTTGAATATGATATGTTTATAAGAAGTATGGATAAACTATATCAAAAGATTGATGATGAAAAAAGAACTATGAGTAGAGAAAATAAGATATTCAAGGTAACAGTAATATTTTGATATACCAAAAAGTATCAACCCGATCAATACGTATTGTTTGGGTTGAGTAGAGTTGAGTTGCACTTTGGTTTGTATTAGGTTGAGTTGAGATTTTTTAAACTGTAAATATTAGATTGGGTTGTTGAAATACCTTAGATCCGATCAACCCAACCCATGAAAACCCTTAGGGTGCGTTTGGTTTGCGGGATTGGAATGGAATTGGGGGGATTTGGATTTGAAATCCATTCCAATCCAGTGTTTGGTTTGCTGGATTGTGAGGAATTGAAATCCAAGGATTCCTTTGAAATCCCATGAATGATGGATTTAAGAATCCTTCCCTTAGACATGAGATTTTAGAATCCATTCCCGTGGGATTCTTTTTGCCCTAACCTACCCGTCTCCATCTTCTCCTCCATTTTTATCGCTCACCTCCGTCGCTTTCTCCCAGTCATCTCCATCCCCGTCGCTTCCCCCCCAGTCGTCTTCGTCGCCGTCGCTTCCCCCCGAGGTCGTCGCCGTCGCTTCCCCTCGAGGTCGTCTCCGTCGCCGTCGCTTCCCCCCGAGGTCGTCGCCGTCGCTTTCCCTCGAGGTCGTCTCCATCGTTGTGGCTTTCTCCCACCGTCGTCTCCATCGCATCCTCCATTTTCATCCCTGACCATCTCCTCCAGCCTCCAACATCGCTGTCTCCTCCAGCCTCAAACATCGCCGACTCCGTAGCTTTCTCCCACGGTGGCCGTCTCCGGCTCCGTCGCTTTCTCCCACCGTGGTCGTCACCATCTCTGTCGCTTTCTCCCACTGTGTTCGTCTCCATCGCCGAACATAGGTAATTTCTACTTACTTCGATTTCTGTTACGACTTCACAGTACGATTAATGCTCCGATTTGTACTTCCATTTCTGCATATTGTACTTCAATTTCTGCATATTTTGTGACGATTTGTACTTCATATGCTGTTCCGATTAAGTTCATATGTTGTTCCGATTAATGTTCCGATTTGTACTTCATATGCTGTTATAAAAAAAAAATCAAAATCCAAATCCTGCAAACCAAACACAGGAATGGATTTTAAATCCAATCCAATCCAAATCCCATGGCATTCAAATCCCTCTTGGGAATCCAAATCCCTCCTAGGAATACAAATCCCTCAGAAACATTCCTGCAAACCAAACGCACCCTTATATGTTTTACTTAACACGGAGGGATCATTTCCTGAAGTGTGTATTAATTAAACAAAAATACAAAGATGAAGGATAAAAACTGTAATTTTTGATTTTCTTCTAACACAAACAGCACCCAATCAATGAGAGAGATTCTGAAAACTAAAAATTATAAACAAACAGCACACCTAGCGCCGAGCCCTGCACCTCACGGCCTCACCCTTTGCCATCGCCCAGTCGCCCCTCACCACCGTCCGCCGGCTCCGGCCAGTTCTCTCAGGTCCTTACACACACTCTCACTCACTCAGTCACTCTCTCAATCAGGTTTTGTCCAAAACCTAACTCGAATTTGTATTTTTGCCCTAAATTTGTTATTAGTATTTTGCCCTAAATTTATTAGTTATATGCTATAATCATGTTTACATGATTTATTTGTTTGTTTTGAGTTTCTATATTTGAGTTTTGACCCTTGATTTGATATTATTAGTCTTTTGACCTAAATCTGATTCAGTTTTTTTTCTTGCTTCCTCTTAGCTATTGATTATTGCAAATTGTTTGATCGTTTATTTTTACATTGTTTGTTGCTTACATCCGTTGCCCTAATCCCCCAACTCAGATTTACTCGAAATTCTAGATTTGCCATCTATCTGATAATTTGATGATAATTTTCTTAGCTTAATTTTAACCTTAGTTGTTGTCTTGTTGATGATAATTTGTTTAATCAATCTAGGGTTCTTTTGATTTGGTTAGTTGATTTTAATTTGCAAAACATCCAATTTAGTACTTAAATCCTAGATTCATAAAGAAACAAAATTAGTAAACCTCAGAAAGAAAGTTGAGAAATTTTACGAAACCAACCCAAAAAACCGAACAAGCCCCTTCACGAAACCAACCCAAAAAACCGCACAAGTCCCTTGAAATCAACGAAAAAAACTTGCAAAAATCCCTTGAAATCATCCAAAAAACTTAAAAAAAATCCCAGGTGGAATTCAGCTAAAAACACATCAAGCGGCTCTGCGGGCATTTGGTCCAATTTAAAGATGAACCTGCTCTGCAAAAATCCTGGGTCCACCACTGAGTAGGTTGATGCAAATATTTAGATGCCTGTAAATAAAGATAAACCCGGTAGGCTCTTCGAAACAGAGTTGAAACTGGATATATTGTTACCAATGTTAGCCGGTTAGTACGTGAGAACATATTGCAAAAACAAACTCTACAATGCTCTTATCTCTCTTTATGTTTAAATAGATTTCAAAATTCGTTTCTGTAGTAAGTTTGCACACATGAAAATAAAGCTAGTATATAAAGTTTGTAGCAAACAGGAAACAACTTAGATGATAGCATTTGTTGCACTTTCAATTCTTGCCCACAGATCACCACATTCCGTCCCAATTGGTGCAGTGATGGCAGTACCTTTCAATTCTCCTTTTTTGTTGACAATAACACTGGATTTATCTTCTAAGTACCTGAAGACGCCAACCTTTCGGGGCCATTGCTTGCGTAGTTGCATTGTCTAACAATTACAGTGTAACAACCCATCCCACATGAATAGAAAAAAATTGTGAGCTTATTATAAGCTCAAAGTTGTAAGCTAGCAATATCTTCCACGATGATTTTAAGTTGGATTCGAAGTCATTAGGCGAGCCTGTTGCTTTGGGATTTGGTCGTTGCATACAACAGGCATCACTTTCTTATGAAGATCAGTCTTCCCTTTCTTCAGAGTGGCCATCACCATATCTCCAACTGCTGAGGCAACCTGTTAGAATGTCCCATAACCCCCTTCATGGATATAATGTAAAGGGTCTTGGTCCCTGTGTTATCCACACAATTCACCACTGGCAGACTCGGTGACATTTGAAATTTGTTACCTGCAGAACCTCTACGTCCTCGCTTCGACATATTTAGAAATCCACAGCTATGGTTATTAACCTGTCATTTGAACTTGCACACAATGAAAAGGTTTTGAGATTGTTAACAAGTGTTAGGAGTCATTCTTAACTATAATTTTATCACATAATTAGGGTAAACTGCTGGGACTGACATTAAACGTATAATACCACATGAACATCAAATTCATTTCAATTTTTGGGTTGTTTAAATCTCCAAGAATAAGAACAGAAAGCTAAGACATACTAGAGCTGCTGATTAATTAATCATGACTAATTTATAATTATTAAAGAAACATGTGAAAAACAACAATATCACCACCACCAGCTGAGATGTGCATTTTTAGATGTGCAATCTACTTGCCATATTAACTGTTTGTTGCCTTCATCAACTTTCCAGGTTGGTGAAAATGAAGGTTCTCTTCGAGATCCCTTTAAAAACACTAGTCTTTGAAGGGTCAAAAGTGTAAGGGGCTTTTTGTTTGGCTCTTAATGGTGACATTAAGAGCCAACCTCTTATTCGGTAAGAGGTCAAGAGTGTTTGGCAAAAAAAACAAGCTCTTAATGGTTACATTAACCTCTTAACCATTTTGCACCTAGAGCTTCACTAAACCATTCAGATGTTCATTTTTCCAACTCTGCCCTCTCAAGCCGTTCTTCACATCGCATCCCCCCTCCATCGTCGATTCCATTCGCCGTCTTCCCCCCTCCATCGTCGGTTCCATTCGCCGTCTTCCCCCCTCCCATCGTCGGTCTTCCATTCGCCATCTCCCCCCCCCCACGATTGTCGCCGCCCCTACTGCTTCCCTCCAGCTCTTGTTCCATTATTACCCTCATCACGTCTCCAGCCGCTCTCTCCTCCCACGCGAGATCCTCGTTCCTCATCCCACTCGATCGTGTTCTCCAGCGTCTTCTCCATCGTCTCCGTTGTCTTCTACATCGTCTCCCACTCGATTTCAGGTATTTCCCTTCTGTCTCCTTTTTCCTTCCCTCTGCAATCACAATGTCGATGAACTTAGGGATGTTTGAAATGCTTATTCCCTCTGCAATCACATTGTGGATGAAAGCATAACCCAAATCCAAAAGTGAGTGAAACCCTAATTTCTTGTATGAAATTTCATGTTTATGTGCATCATTTTTTTGTTTTTCGAATTGATATGATGAGGTAATCGATTTGATCGTTGGTGGATTCAAGTTATTTGTGCAATTTGTAATACTTAACAACAAGTGTGCTTCTTGTTCATTCCTTTTCGATCTTCTTTTAACATATGAGCTAATCATTTTGGTATCATTTAGGAACCCATAGCTCAACCCATGTTTTGGACTTGGAAAATATGTCAAACCAGGACCAAAGCATACAGAGGGTTAAAATGGTAATTTGTTGTCATTCAGAGAACATTTACCAAACAACCATATTTCATTCAGCACATAACCATTCTGACCCTCTTAACCATTCTGACCACTTAACCATTCTGCACAAAACCATTCAGCAACTGCCAAACAGCCCCTAACTTATCCCCAACCACTATTCTCATGTTGGATGGAGTTTTTGTTTCTTAAATTTTCATATAAACCCCTAAAAGTTTTAATGTTTATGGTTACACCCCAAAAAAAGCTAATGGTTTCATCCAAAAAACTTATGATTTCACATTTAGAAACATAAATAATTACACTTAAACCCTAAAAAGTTGAAGACAGTTTTATCTATGAGTTAACAGGGGTCGTTTGGATGGCCGTGATCTTCAAGACCTTAGTCGTAGCAATTCGTATAGGCGAAACCACATCCATAGTAAACATAATATTGGGACCTTCATAAAGAAAACATCAAAACAGTAAAGTTTATTACTTTTTTCTCTTTGTAATAATGTTTGATAGAGTAAATTACATTTTTTGTCGTGGTTTGTTAAAAATTGCGGATTTCATTCTTTTAGTTTTGAAATTGTGATTTTTGTTCCTATAGTTTGCAATTTGTTGCTATTTTTATCCCTAAAACTCACTTTTATCTTTAAGTATGAGAGACTAAAAATAGAAACGAATTGTAAACCACAAGGACGAAAAAAACACTAGATTTTAAATCTTAAGGACAAAAACAACAATGAAATGTAAACCATGAGAATGAAAATCATAATTTCAAAATCACATGAATGGAAATAGCTATTTTGAACTAACATTGGTGTGGAGATATGACGTTCACGTATTCTCTTTATTCTTAGATATAGTTTATGTGATGAGATCCGTGCCCAATTTAGTTTTTGTTGTCGTCTGTGTAGGGAATGGATCTTGAGGAATTTAGGGCGATTTTATCGAATTCAGGGGTGGATGTTTGGGAAATCATGGATGCGGCCATAAGCGTAGCTTCAACAGATTATGCCAGAGAGCTTAAGCATCGTAGGGATGGAATTGTAGAGCGGCTATACACGCAGCAGTGCAGCAATTGTGACCTTAATCTAAATGAGGAGCAGCCAAATGGTGTAGTTCAGACTATTACAAAGGAGGTAGATGATGACTGCATAGGAGGAGGTGATTCGCCTTTAACTCCGCAGTCGGTTCCCCAAGACGATGAAGATGAAGATCACGATCCGTACGGAGGGTTGTTTGACGATGAGCAGACTAAAATTCTTAGAATCAAAGAACAGCTTGAAGATCGACACCAGGTATAATCTCCAAATCATTTCATCTTCTTAATTAGATACCCAATATCCAATTATGCTGTTGTTAGTTGATTTATTACGAATGAAATTTTGGTTTAGACTGAGGATGCTGTTATTGAGTTGCTTCAAACCCTTGCTGATATGGATCTAACTTTCACTGGTCTTAAGGTAAATAAACATCACTTGTCTTGTTTAACTTCCATTGGAATCATGTATGATGTAAATAATTAACATAACACTAATATAGTAATATCTGTAAATTGAACCAGGAAACTGATATAGGAAGGCATGTTAATCGACTTCGAAAGCATCCATCAAATGAAGTAAAAAGACTGGTGAAGCATCTGGTGAGGTCAGTCAAAGTCGAACGATTTTGAAACCCGATGATGGTGGAAAGTTGATTGTTCAATGGTAGATTGTTCTTGAACTGGTTTTATCTGTTGTAATTGTTATAGCAAATGGAAAGATTTGGTGGATGAATGGGTTGGGTCGAAGTCGAGCCATGGTGACCTTGCACCAGCTACTCTGACAGGTAATGCATTTTCTTGAATTTTTTTTTTTACGTCTAGAATTCATAGCCTTATAATTTGAGGCGTAAACTTTTGGTTCTAATTGGCAGATGGGGATTCACCTGTGGTGCACAATGTACCAAGGAGTGGCCAAAGTGGTAATCACCAGGTGAGGGTTTTGATTTCGGAAAAAAGTTATGACTATGATGCTGATGTTTCAAACACTCGAGCGTTTCTTGACATTTGAAATTGTGTTTTTCAGGGGCCTGATTTCGGCTACTCTCCTAACCCACACAGTTAAGTATCGAATTCGATTAAAATCATCCATTTCCTTTCCATACTCTTGTGGAGTGATTTTTGATCAATTCTTTACACCAAATTAAACTGTAGATGGGAGTTCTGGTTCTGAAAGGAAAAATTCTGAACCAGAGCAGAGGCCGAAAGCAGTTGTTCCTAAGAAAGCAGCAACATCTTCAAGACCAGCGCCCCAGTCTCAGTCCCGTCCCGCCATGGTTGCTTCTGCTTCTGCTCCTCCCCCAAATGTACATCTCTCTGCTACTCATTTGCATTCTCTCTTCCTTTCCTTTGTAAACAAGTAGTCGAGAAGACAGAGTAGAGCGGCTGTTTCTGTAAATACTTGATAAGTTATACATGTGGATTTTTCACAGCGATCACACAAGGAGCAAAACATCGACCCTGAGAGGCTGGCTTCAGCCAGGAAGCGGCTTCAGGAGAACTACCAGGAAGCCCAAAATGGTTAGAATGAATCGAATTTGGTTGCATTTCTTTTGAGCTTTATTTCGGGAAGGATTTTTGTATTCAGACTTTGTTTGTTTCTGAAGCGAAAAAGCAAAGGACAATACAAGTGATGGACATTCATGAGATACCCAAGCCCAAGAATGGTTTCATTTCCAAGAATAAAGGCAATTTTCAGGGGAGGCACCATAGATGATGGATGATGGATGATGTTTCCTTTTCACTCAAACTCAGAAACATGTTTGCTTCCCTTTTCCCTTTCCTTTCCTTTCCTTTCCTTGTGATATAAATCCCATCTATCTTTCTTTCTTAACTGAAGCAACTGTGAATCCAAATCTAAATTCATTTGAAACACTTGTCTCTTTTTGATTCTCTAATAAAATTACTCGCATTGTGATATATAATTCTAGGGATCCCATCTATAAATGCTACTGTCGATTTGGTTTCTCTGAAACAGCGGATTATTTTATCGATTCTAAAAGCTCACTCCCAGTTAGTTAGTTAGTTCTTACAGGTTAATGGCGATGTCTGCAGGAGTTTCCATTTCGTGTCGTTGATTCCGAAGAAGATATCTTGAAACCATTGCGACACGAGCTTATTCAGGTAGGTCATGTAATATGCCTGAAGTTATCTTTTTAACGGTTTCGCTTTCTTCAGTCATTGTGACTTTCCAAGAGTTGGTTTCGCTTTCTTCAGTCGTTGTGACTTTCCAAGAGTTGGTTTATCAAGTAGTTCAAACCCATCATTTTTATTTGTTTTCAAATAGAATACGTTATAATATATTTGCACATTGGATTTCATTATATAATGTTAATGGGCAAATACAAGGGTCTTGCGGTTGAATCTTTCGTTTTTGCAGTCATTTTACACGTCCTTGTTTTTTTTTTCTTTTTTTAAATAAAAGGGTGTTTGGGATTGTTTATTTGAAACAAGTTATGTTTTTCTATAAAAGCACTTTTCAACTTATTATAAGTCAGAAGGGCTTAACTCCTTATTACCAGTTTGGTACCGGTATAAGTTGTTTATCCAAACACTCAAAAGTGTTTATTATCGGTGTCATACCTGAATAAGTTAATAAGTTGTTTTTATAAACAATCTTAAACATCCCCTTAAATAAAATATGGTAAGGGACCATGAAATTTAAAAAGAAAAAGTGTCTTTTTATTATCGACACCATAACCCCTTAATTCGACATTATAAGTCGGACACTTTTTTCAACACCATAAGTCTGAAACCATTAAGGTTACCTAACATCCTTCAAGACCGATTAATGATGTGGTTTTATATGATTGGTTAATGTGATAGAGACTATGAAATTGGGGCATGTGATTGCGGTATTAAATTACTTGTTTCATAAATTTCGGTGGAAATGCACAAAGTTAACTTTTCACACTTAAAAGCCCAAAGCGGATACTAAAAACGGGTTTCAAAGGCTTGGTATTTATCGTTAAATATTTACGTCATATAACAACAGTAGGGTAAACGTTCACTTGTTATTGTTATATGACAATAAAAAGTTAAAACCTTTTACCGTAAAACCATATTCGTGAAAGAAGTTAAAGAGTAGTGTTACCATTTTACCCTAGTTTCCCTGATTCTCTTTGCCACCTCCGACTCACAGATCGCCGCTCACCCTCTCGTCACCGTCCAACACCTTGTATCAGACATGGCCACCGCCGGCGTTCCTCTTTCCCACCTATTTCTCTTTACCCAAAACCCTAGTTCCCCTGATTCTCTCTGCCACCCCCGACCCACAAAATTGGTCGCCGCTCGCCCTCTCGTCGTCGTCCAACACCTTGAATCGGACATGGCCACCGACGGTGCCGACGTTCCTCTTATTCACGTCGTGAAATAAGGAGTACATCCCTCTTCCCCACCGATTTAGGGTTTTAGATGGAGAGGGTAGATAAGGAATAAATCCCTCTTACCACGGTAAGATTCATTTTTTTGTTGACTCCGGTAAGAGGACGGTCAGAGGCATGAAATCTGATTGCTGATTTTGCTATTAAGTAAACACTGTTACCTCTTACCCAGGTAAGCATCTCTTAACGGGTAAGAGACGGTAAGAGATTAGTAAACAGGGCCTTAGGGTTAGAAGCAAGATTTTCATTTTTAATGAAAATGGTTAAGGTGATTAAGAGGCTGTTTACCTAAATGCTTACCCGATAAGCATTTACCGTTATAATTCATACTATAATTTATTTTATGGATAAGATCGTAGTACATCAAAATGGAATAATATGTAACAATTTACTTGGTAAACACTTATCCGGGCAAGAGTCGTTACCCTCACTTACAGGGTAACAAAAATCATGGGATTTTTTGATTTTGTAACTCCCAATTAATGATATAGGATTTACATAAAAAATAAAATTACATAAATACCCTTTTCCACTTAGTTCACATATGTTTGTGAAATTGTAAGTTTAAAAAATTAAATTTTTAATATGATAAATCACAACAGTTTATTGTAAGAATCAATGGTCAAGATTGGTTAACAAAGTTAACACAATAAACTTGGTTAACATTTCAACCAACCCATATATATATATATATGTGTGTGTGTGGAGTTTCAAACGAGAACCCCTATGATTTACGAGAACGCAAGAATAATCCAATAACCTCAAACTTTTTTACTTAATAAATTAATTTATATTAAATATAAATAAATTAATAAGGGCAGTAACGTAATTAAGTAATTTTTATTTTATTTTAATTAATTATAATTATCCATTTTTTCTTGGATTGATCATGTTTGTTTCTTCTCTTCCTTTGTGATAATTGTGTGATTGTGTAACCATAACCTATCGAAACCATGATCAATCGAATGTAACCATAACCTATCGAAACCATGAGTAATCGTTGTGATAAATGTGTGATTGTCTAACCCTAACCGATCAAAACCATGATCAAATCGAGTGCGCTGTTATGATAGTGATATCACATGATTATCACAYCCATATCACACCAAATCGGTAGTCGATTTCCTAAGTTAACCCTAGCCGAACGGAATTCTTATGATAATTGTGTGATAATCACATGATTATCACACCCATATCACAATTATCATACCCAAATCACACCAAATCGTGTTGAAATTAGCGATAACCATAATAGCTCATTATGTTATCTAGATTATTGGGTTTAATGTGATCGTGTTTTTAAAATTTTATCACTTTCAATTCTAATATTACCATTTTGTCTCTCAAATTTTTTTGAATTTTTTTAATTTAAAAAATCTTTTTAATTTTTATTGTTATCACAATATGATGTTAATAGGTTGTTTTCGCGTTTTCCGTAAATCATATGGGTTCTCGTTTGAACCCTTCCCCCCCCCCTCTCTCTCTCTCTCTCTCTCTCTCTCTCTCTCTCTCTCTMTMTATATATATATATATATATATTAAAGTTTCCATACCCCTACACTAAACAACAAATTAACATTAAAACCAATGCATTTATGTTATCAGTTTTTAACCCTTTACATAATTTTATTTTTAATCTCTGTGGTTTTCCTGGTTCATTTGTTACTTTTAACCTTTTTTTATATTTCTCAATTACATCTATTACTTTTTTATTTTTTATTTTACACACTAACCATATTAACTAATTAATTATTTTTTAACTAAAATGCATATTTTTCAATACTACAAACTTAATAATATTTTTAAGATAAAACAAATTAAAATTATTGTTTTATTAAAACTGTATTAATTTAAGGATTGTATCCTTAAAATTAAAACAAATAAAAAATAACGTTCATCGTTAATATTTTGATTAATCATTATTTTATAAAATAAAAGACATTGTTAGAGATAAAATAATATTTTTTTTATATTATCAATCATTTAAATCAATGTATTCACGAGCACTATTAAGATCTAAATATTCCTTGTACACATTTAATCGAAATTGATATGGATATAGTTGTCTCGAGAGATCTTTAATGTTTCCGTTGCGTAATCGTAGACATCGAGTAATATTTTGATTATCTATACTATATGATAAAGCATTTGACAAAAACTCTTAAAAACCACTTTTTATACATAAAGTACTGTTTATTGATGAAGATTACTTAAAATTCAAGATTACAAGTAATTTTGCATAAATACAATTTATTAAAGCTTCATTTCTAAATTCGTGTAACTAACTCCAAATAAACATAATCAAATACAGAATAAACATCTATTTTAAATATAGAAAATCTAAAATATAATTAAGATAATCATTGAGTTCTAACAGAATATTTAATTATTATCTTTATAAAAAATTATATTATTAAATCTAAATTAAATAATAGTACAAAATTAAAAGAAAACGAAAACTATTAAATAGTTAATTGATACTAATATCGATTTATTTTTTTCAAATTATTCTATCTTTAAATTTATATATCATTGAAAAATAAAAACATTATCGATTTCTCAAAACCACATAAAATCGTTATATCGATAAAGACAAAGAATAAAAACTAAACATTAAATTCGATATTTATCTCGCTACATTGCGCGAGTATCCTTCTAGTTCTTACAAAATGGTTAACATTAACGTATGATTGTAAAAACCACACGTTGAGCGGGTTTGACGATGAATTTATCCGCATGGGCTCAAATAATCATAATTTGTGAGATAAGGGTTTAAAATTAGGCTCATTTTGAAGGTATAGACGAAATAATTATAATGGTGTCATTTGTAATAAAAAAAATAAACGTATTTTTAGTGTATTTTAGTTAATATATGATTATATATGTTAATAAGATAAAGATGTAAAATAAAAAATAAAAAAGTAAAAAATATAAATAAATAACTATAAAGAGTGTAAAATGTAATTATTAAAAATAATTTATGAATAAATATAAAATTATTCAATATTGGGCTTGTTATTAAGGTATTTATGTGAGGATTATAATGATGTAATTTGTTAAAAAAAACGTATTTTTTATATATTTTAGTTAGTATACGATTATTTATGTTAACATGATAAATTATAAAATAAAAAATAGAAAAATGAAGGATATAAAGTAAGTTAAATTAGTAATTATAAGAGTGTATAAATTATAATTTTTTAAATTAAAAATGATATAAATTTGATTAAAAGTACGAATTTAACCAGAATCTGATTGGTTTGAGTTTGAGCTTCAAAGGTCAAGAATACCTGGAGATCTCATGTTCAAATCCAATGAGGAATAAAAATCCTCTTATGGCCACGAAGATTCAAATACGATGACTCCAGGTTACCTGCAAATCAGGGATTAGATTAGTTGGCTCGTTTAACTGGGAAAAAAAAATATGAATGTATGTTTAAGAACCCTTAATTAAAGGAAAGAATTGAAGAAGTAAAACTTAATCCCTGCAATGTCTCCGTATTCATCTCCTAAATATATTATGAATCGGTAAAATCTCAATCTCACACACACACTTGACAGTTGCATATGCAATGCTAATGGTTTTATATATATATGTATATATCATCTAATGGTTTTAATTAGGGTTTGATGGATTTGTTCTTTGAACCCAGCAAAGGCATGCCCTTCTGCATTGAAGTTGGCTACTTTGATACCATGAAAGAAATCAAAGAAAAGGTGGCCAAATACCATGGCATTCCTGTTTATGAACAAACCCTCATCTTCAAAGATAAAACCCTACCCGACGATCTCAACATTCACAACTCCGACATCTTAGACCGTTCACGTATTCAGCTGCACATCATCAACAACACCACCGATCATCCTCATCCTCATCCTCCTCCACAGAAAGTTACAGTCAAAACAGAAGAGGAAACTACGACTCCTTCTTCTTCTTCTTCTTCTCAGGTGCAGAATTTGAAGAACAAGTCGATGATGATCAAACTGATGCTGAAAAGTAGTAGTTTGGGAGGAGTAGCGACGACGATGATGGAGCTGGACATGAATGATTCAGTTTTGAAACTGAAAGAGAAGATCTATGAAATGGAATTAGTGAACAGTAGGATGATGATTATCCATGCAAATGGGATTGAATTACATGATGATAATAAGACGTTGCATGAGTGTCAACTGGTGGATGGTTCAGAGGTTGAGATTATAACACCACCACTTAATAAGCAGCAGCCTACTACTACTACTGGTCTTATTTCTAGCAGCAGTAGTAGTAGTAGTTTAAGCAGCAGCAACAGCATGATGATGATGAGCATGGGAAATAACACTAACAGTAACAGTAACAGTAATAATAATAATAATAAGAAACTGAAGGTAAATGTAATGTCGAAATGTGGGAAAAAGATAACGTTGGAGGTGAATCCATTGAATAGCGTGGGAGAACTAAGAAAGGAGTTGCATAAGGTTATAAGAAACAATAATCATAATAATAATAATAATAACAATAATCAAGGTGGGTTTCGTTTACCAGAGGATGGTTATTTCTTCATTTACAAACAAAACGTCATGGAAGAAGATCAATCGTTCAGATGGCATCGAGTTGCACAAGGTGATACCATTGAGATCTTCAATGGCTGTGTCACTGGTGGTGGATCTTAATTATACATATTCATGATCTGTACGTTGGAATATGAAGAATCTATATGAAACGGGATTGCACCGCTGTTTTAGAAATCTGTTGAAGAATAAGCCAAACTTCTGTTTCCAGTTAGTTAATTAACAAGATTTGGCAGTTTGGCGTTATGTCCGTTAAATTGCCGTTATGACAGTTGATGGCAGTTTCCTTTCCCGCCAAACTCTTCTCTGTGAATCGTTGCCTCTCTTCAGTCTAAACCGTTGTGTTGGTTATGTTCCTTTATAATCTTTGTCTTTCATTCGTTGTCTATGATGTAATTTTGTACAATCTTTGTTCATATAATAAAAGTAATGTTTATGTGAATCAATATTTCAATATTAGTTATCTTTGGTCTTATAACATATGGTATCAGAGCCATAATCGTATGGCTTCAAGTTCTCAGAGCATCCAACAACCCCAATTGCCCAAACTAAATGGAAGAAACTACTTCCATTGGAGCATCCAAATGAAGGTGATGTTCGAGTCTCAAAACCTTTGGGCAATCATCGAAAGTGGAGTCGAAGAACTAGACATCGAAAGTGGAGACGAAGAACCAGTAGCTCTTACTGCACAACAAACCAGTGAACTTAATGAATCAAGGAGAAAGGAGAAAAGAGCCCTGTTCTTGATTTATCAAGCAGTGGACGAAAATATTTTTGAGAGGATCTCAGCGTCACAGACAACCAAAGAAGCATGGGAAATGTTGTTTAAATCGTACAGAGGGGAAGAAAAAGTTAAGACTGTCAGGCTACAGACACTAAGATGTGAATTCGACAACCTTAAAATGAAAGAGACTGAGACAATAGAGGAATGTTACACAAGGGTGATTGTGCTTCTCAATCAAATGAGATTGAATGGAGAAAGTATAAGTGATAGGAGAGTAGTTGAGAAAATCTTACGGAGTCTTACAAGAAAACTTGAGTATGTGGTAGTTGCCATAGAAGAATCCAAAGATTTATCAAATTTTTCCTTGGAAACCCTTCTAGGAACTCTTCAGTCTCATGAACTCAGAACGAGAAAAATTTGACACATCTGTTATGGAGCATGCTTTCCAAACTCATACATCATGGGAAGCAAACACAAGTGAGAAGCAGAAAGGACTGATTCAAGTAGACAAGAACAAGGAACATGAACCTTCAAGAGCAAAGATAGAGGTAAACCTTACACTCAAATTAAATGCTTCTATTGTGATAAGATAGGACATACAATTAAAGTCTATAGAAAGAGAATAGCAGAAGAAAGTAAGGCATCCAGTTTTTTACACAAGGAAGAAGGTCATAACGATGATACTATGTTTATGATGTTAAGCATTCAAGAAAATACATCTAATGACCTTTGGTACCTTGATAGTGGATGTAGTAATCATGTGACCGGCAATAAGGACATGTTTTTGAGTTTGGAAGAGTCTGAAAAGAAGGATGTGAAGACTGGTGATAACAAAAAATTGAGTGTATATGGGAATGGGGAGACCTCTGTCAAAATTAGAGACAAAGAGAAAAGGATATCTAATGTCTTTTATGTTCCTGGTCTTAAGCATAACTTGTTAAGTGTAGGGCAACTGATCCTCAAAGGATAGAAAACTATCTTCAAAGAAGAATGTTGTGAGATAACAGACTCAAATAACACTTAACACTTTGATAGGAAGAGTTGCTATGACAAGTAACAAAATGTTTCCTATTAAGTTTGACAATGAGGAATTCTTCTCTTTGACCATAAGCACTAAAGACACCTCATTGTTATGGCACAACAGATTTGGACAAGTAAGTCTAAATATCCTATCTCACATGCACAAGGTTGACTTGGTATAAGGACTACCATTTGTCACTACACGTAGTGAAGTCTGTGAAGGGTGTGCTCTTGGAAAACATGCCAGGGAAGCATTTCCACACGACAAGAGTTGGAGAGCCTCCAAACAATTAGAACTTATCCATTCCGATATCTATGGACCTATGAGAACCACTTCATTTGGTGGCAGCAGGTACTTTTTGACATTTATAGATGACTATAGTAGAAGGGTTTGGATCTACTTTCTGAAAGAGAAATCAGAAACCTTTAACTACTTTGTGCTTTTCAAAGCTATGGTTGAAAAGCAAAGTGAGTGCAAAATTAAAACATTTAGGACTGACCAAAGGGGGAATACATAGGAAAGGAATTCGAAGACTATTTGAAGAATAATGGAATTTACCATCAGTTGACTGCCAGTTACACACCCCAGCAGAATGAGGTGGCAAAGAGGAAGAATAGGACCCCAAGTAGAAATGGCAAGGTGCATGCTCAAAGCCAAAAACCTTCCTAATATTTTTTGGGTAAAAGCATTAGCATGTGCTGCCTACTTGATAAACAAATTATTTACCAAAAGCCTCTCAAATAAATCTCCTCAAGAAGCCTGGAATGGTTTTAAGCCAAGTGTAAACCATTTGAGAACTTTTGGGTGTATGGCTTATGCCCATATTCCAAATTAAAAGAGAGGAAAGTTGGATGAGAAGTCAGAAAAAGCTATTTTTGTTGGGTAGAGTTATAACACCAAAGCTTACAAACTTTACAATCCTTTGACCACAAAAGTTATCACAAGTAGAAATGTGATATTTTATGAAGATAAGGCTTGGGATGGACTGACTTGTGATGAAAATGGAAGTTGCATCCTAGTTGAACAACACCTTGATCAAAACAGTCCTTATGTGGATCTTGAATCAAATGTTCCCACTACACCTGTTAGCACACCTATGAGAGCATCTACTTCAACTGAGGATGCTAGTTCTGAAAGTGCATCCTCATCAGATCATAATAGAAAGACTAGAAGTCTGAGTGATCTTTATAATAATACACATCCTATTCATATAAGCAACCTTGTTGATTTTGCTCTATTTGCAGATGTTGATCCACTGAATTATGAAGAAGCTTGCCAAGAAAAGAAGTGGAGAGAAGCAATGGATTCTGAGATGAACTCAATCTTGAAGAACAATACATGGGAACTGGTTGAACTGCCCAGAGGACAAAAATCTATAGGAGTAAAGTGGATCAACAAGACTAAGTTCAATGAAAAGGGAGATGTGGATAAGCATAAGGCAAGACTTGTTGTAAAAGGCTACAAACATCAATTTGGGATCAATTACCAAGAGGTATTTGCTCCTGTTATCAGACTTGAAACCATTCGATTGATTCTGGCTATTGCTGGACAATATAACTGGCTTGTACATCAAATGGATGTCAAGTCAGCGTCTTTGAATGGATATCTAAAAGAAAATGTTTATATTGACCAACCAAACGGCTATAAGAGAAAGGGTGAAGAGCATACGGTATGTCATCTCAAGAAAACACTGTATGGTTTGAAATAGGCCCCTAGAGCCTGGTATAGCAGAATTGAAGAACATTTCCTTGATCATGGATTCAACAAATGCAATTATGAGCATACACTCTTTATCAAGAAAGTTGGTAACACCATTCTCTTAGTCTGTATATATGTAGATGATTTAATCTTTACAGGCAATTCAAGTGAGATGATAGATGACTTCAAGAATTCAATGAAGCAGAACTTTGAAATGACAGACTTGGGTCTCTTGCATTACTTCCTTGGGATTGAAGCAACTCAAGGTACACACTGTATTTCCATTTCTCAAAAGAAATATGCAAGAGATTTGCTACTAAGATTTAACATGGAGGATTGTATTACTACTGAAACTCCTATGGAGTTTGGTTTAACACTCTCAAAAGGGGAGGATGGAAGAGAAGTTGATCCCACCCTTTTATCGCAGCTTAGTTGGTGCCTTATGTATCTCACGGCCACAAGGCCAGATATTATGTTTTCTGTAAGCTTAGTGAGTAGGTTTATGGAAAATCCTGAGAAGGAGCATTGGGATGCTGCAAGACGAATTTTGAGATATGTCAAAGGGACGCTCAATCATGGTATCACTTACAATCACTCTCAGGATTTTAAATTGATTGGGTTTAGTGACAGTGACTATGGGGGAAACATTGTAGATAGTAGAAGTACAACCAGATATGTGTTCAGTTTAGGATCAGGTGTCATCTCTTGGCAATCCAAGAAACAGAAGGTTGTTGCCCTGTTCTCTACAGAGGCAGAATACATGGCTTTATCCTCCACAGGTTGTCAGGCTTTGTGGCTTAGAGGTATCTTGAAGGAATTGGGAATTCTACAAAGTTTCTGCACACAGAATTATTGTGATAATAAATTTGCTATCTTATTGACTAGGAACCCTCTTTATCATGGAAGAAGCAAGCTCATACGGATTAAATTTCACTTTATCAGGGAGCTTATTCATCACAATGAAGTTGATGTTGTGTTTTGCAAGTCTCAAGATCAAGTTGCTAATATACTCACTAAATCCCTTAAACGTGGGAGTTTTATGATTCTGAAAAAGGAATTGGGAGTTCATGAAATTTAGCTTATGGGGGAATGTTGAAGAATAAGCCAAACTTCTATTTCCAGTTAGTTAATTAACAAGATTTGACAGTTTGACGTTATGTCCGTTAAATTGCCGTTATGACAGTTGATGGCAGTTTCCTCTCCCGCCAAACCCTTCTCTATGAATCGTTGTCTCTCGTCAGTCTAAACCATTGTGTTGGTTATGTTCCTTTATAATCTCTGTCTTTCAATCGTTGTCTATGATTTATGTATAATCTTTATTCATATAATAAAAGTGATCTGTATGTGAATCAAGTATTTCATTATTACTTATCTTTGGTCTTACAACAAAATCAATAAGCAAAATCCACAATAATATCACAAATCAATCAAATCGCAAACCATAAAAATTGAATCTTGAACTTGGAAGCTTCTTGAATCTGTCGATCGTTTCTTAAATCTTGAAGAACAAAACCAAATACAAATTTCAGGGAATTAATTTTCTTTGAAACTCTAACCAACACGTTTGATAAAATTCAGTACAAATGGGTAAGGGAGAGCTAAGCATAGGTATCGAGGGAGATGACGAATGGAGGGTGAGTCATCTTCACGCGTTCGTAA